AATCGATACCTTTTTGGTGTCCAGGCAAAACTCAATCTGAAAGTTTCATTCATAGACATTTGAACTTTATTTCTAGTGGAAGTTCTCTGATTCTTAATTTGTACTGTGCCTTGCAGTGACCAATGAGGTTCTGGATGTTACTGTAATCCAATAGTAATAATAAACACAAAGTTCTGATTTTTTTCAGTTATACTAAAGCTTTAGTCCAGGATAGTTGAATGAAATACTGTAGCCAAGTACCACTGAAATGGAGCTAACAGCTCTAGTTGGGGTGTTTAGGCAGGCATTTTAGATTCTCCATCCAAATGTTATCAGGTGTCAAAAATCAGAACAGCAGAAGAGACGAACTGGTGCCTCACCTTACTACTTTCCATTTCCCTGAAAATAAAGAGTTGCAAGTTAGCTTTCCCTTATTGAGATAAGAACCACACTGTTGCTGTTATGGAGAAGGAAGAGAAAAGTCTTACTGCTCCAGATGCTTCTTCCCATTCTCCAAGGGGAATCCTCATCACAGGTCTTGGGAAAGTGTTCTGCTGTCATTTTGTTTTTATCCTTAGTACCATACTGGATAGTTGCGCCATAAATTTATTATTCCTGGTGGAGTACACATACCAATTTTACTTAGTCTCCCTTGATGTCAAAAATGCCAGGGCCCTAAGCACTCAATATTACTGAAAGCAATTTATTAAAATTCCAAACCAGAAGTCGTGCTAGGCACCTGGGAATCTGTTTGTAAAGGAGTCAGGCAGTCTAATGCCACCATGGGGGAAAATGCACCTCATCTAAGGCATGAACCTCATTAGAGGACTATTTACAGAAGAATGAAATCACTTTGCAAAGGCATCCTTCAGTAGGAAGGTTACTGGTTGGTTCCCAATGAATTCTTTAAGTTACAAAGTTGTTTTTTCGCCCTGTGTACAAAGCTGTAGCACAAGCTTTTGCTCAGGAACTTCTAATTCTTATCCTCACTCCTGCTTTTATGAATCACTGCTCTCTAGTTCTCATTTATGATGAATTAGGAGAGCATGCTTTGCAGCAGTGAGATGCTTCTTACCTGATGGGTTTTTTTCTTTTAGCACTTTCTTTCCTCCTTCAATCCTCCCCGTGATTGGGATACAGTTAATAATTTGAAAATATTCTAAAGGCAGACTTGAACATATAATTACATTAAGATTATTTATTTATTTATATGAAGTCAGGTTGTCTTCATGCTAAAAATGGATTGGTAGAGAATTTATGGAACTTCTGAACATCTCTTCTGCTGGCCTGAGCTGAAGGATAGAGGATGCACCTAAGGGGATGCAGCAGTGTGATGGCACCCTCCTTTGGCTGTGCAGTGCAGTTCCTGGAGCATACTCAGTGAGGGCCAGAGCACCATGACTATGGCCACTTGATTCCCCTTTTTTCCTCTGCCATTGAATTCAGGAAGGAGGAGGGCAAATGGCTGTGGTACTTGCATCCTGGGCTTCGGAGCCATGCAAAAGCAGAAACTCTAGGAGGCGCTCAGCTGGTGATATCAGAAAGCTCCCGGCATGTATGGTACTCCAATAAGAACTTCTGACATGCTGGTGAGCTTCAGTACCTCTCTAAGTGCAACCACCAACAGGGGTGGCTGCTCCTCCCTCCTAGATCTGTCCATTGAAGGGCAGGTTTTATTTTTGGAATCTCCAGCAACAATATGGCTTCTCCCTTCAGGTTCAATAACTGGGAGCATTAACCTGTTAGTGATGAGTGACAATGGAAAGTGGCCAACAGAAAATTGTCTGGTATAGTACTTGCCATTCCATTCAGTTAGCATGCTTTTTCAGCTACATTTGAAGAAATGTGACATAATATTTATGATTGTTGTTTTAATTTTTTGCAGTCTTTTGTAAGCTTGTTGTTACATTTTACCACAGTTAAAAATTACCCTTTTACCTTTGAAATCTTTAAACATCATTTTGTTTGAATATCTTGCATGCCATTTGCAATTTCCAGGAAAGCAGTGCATTATAGCAGAATCATAAAGTGGGAATGTACATTCAGTGTTATCTTTCCATTGTGTGCAGCTTCCAAATCAATGGAAGGGTTTCATGTTCTCCAAAACAATGGAGACAGATGTGTTGGGGTGAATATGCATATTTTTAATTATCCAGCTGAGACACCGTACATATTGTCCTGCCAGAAACTGCATGCGCAGATGCACTGGTTGGCAATAGGTGTGATTTGTTTAATGGCTCTCCAAATGCGGAAAATATGGTAAAACCTCTCAAACCTTTCCAGGAAATGTGTATATTCCGCTTATCCAAACTGTCTACTGCGCTGCATGTGGAGGTTATGGATTTGGTTTGTGTGCCTACTTGTTCTGAGGGTTGTTTCAAAGATAATTTAGTCTGTCTTTTACATCAGTTTGGTGAACACTTAAACATTTGCTAAAATGAATGGGGTAATAAAACCTTTACAGAGAATTTCTCTGTAAAATATTTACGGAGAATTTCTCTGTAAAATATTTACGGAGAAATATATGTATATATGCATTTATGTAAATTAACCATTGGTCCTTAGTGTTTAAATATGGCATTCTCACCAGTAAATTAGTACAGAACTATGTTTTTTCTAACAAGTTTATAAAAGTGGTTCCTTGAGCAATGCTGCTATACTGTAGACTAAAATATGAAAGTTCAAATCTTTATACATGAATAATTCAGTTTCATTTGGGGAAAAATAGAATTACAAACATAAGGATGAAATTCTGTCCCCAAAAAGGTCTGTAGGAGTTTTGCCATTCACTTCTGTGGACCAAGGTTCCACCAGAGAGAGAATTTTTGACTAAAAGGGATCGTTATTTTATTTTCTTAATCTAAGGTATATTTTAATTTTTGCTTTGTGTCCAGTCCTTAGTTGAGGGAATGGAGAGTAGCTGAATAAAATAGCTGGTATTTTGTACAGGAAACTGTAACAGGAACAAGCAAACATTACATCCCTTTTATTTGTATTTTTCTAGCGAGATTTGATAGTGATGTTGTTATTCACTAAAATTCTAAACCAGTGTAATAAAACTAGTGCTTTAATGGAACCCAAAGGTTCTTAACATTTGATTTACATATCACGGATAAATTAATGCAGATTTGAGGCTGTTTGGGGATGTTTCCTTCTCCAGAATTTTGAGTTTAGTGAAACTCAAAACCCTGAACATTAACGAAGGAAGAGTTAAGATACCAGTCGGCATATGCTAGGTTACATCCTGTTATGGGAATAGCTGAGTTTTTAGTGGGGACAAAAGAGTCAATGATATGAGTTTCAAGCCTGTGCAAAAGAAACTTATGAAAATATTATGGGGAAGGATGGTTTGGTTTCATTTGACTTCTTTGTAATTTGAAGGCTGTATTTGGGGCACCTCTTGTTTAAATGATCCTACATTTGGATCGCTGTTCATACCCTATACCTTCATGAACAAATTTCAAGGCAATCTGACTAATTGTGCAGATGTTAGAGCACTTGCTTAGAAAGAGTCAAACTATAAACAGAAAGAGCTTCTTAACCTAAACTGTAGTAGTGCTTATACACTGATATAATGCCCTTGTGTGTTTTTTTTTTTGTCTTGTTACATTGCCTTTTTTTTTTTTGTAAAAAACTATCATATAGCAAAAAATAAAATCCTTAGGTCACACAGAGTTCACTTCTGTTAGCTTGTAATAGAATTTGCTGGTATCATTTGAGAATGACTTTTTTATTGTATTAATGTGTACAATGATTGATAACCAATAGTTAGTGGTAATTTAAGAGAGAACTGAGTTATGAGGCATGCAAGTTTTTGGAAGCTTAAATACCAGTTCTCTTATTTCAAGCTCTGTTTATTTGTAGTTAACGAGTTTTTTTTAGTTTATGGAAAATAAAGCTATTAACTAAAATATGCAGGACTTTCTTATGTATTTACAATGTGTTTATTGATGAAAGAGAAATGGCTTCTGTCCTCTTCTCAGCATAACAGGATCCAAATTAAAGGAAACGTCTTAGGATATACGTTAGAATGCTCTTGAACTATCGAGAGTCATCACAAGTAAAGGAGCTGTGTAAGAATTGAAGCTGAAAGAGAAACCTGTTTCTGAATTCTATATAATTTCTCGCTGAAACTCCTATGTCTGTTAAGTAAAACTAGGATTAGGGGGTCTCAACACTTGGAATTGAAGAGTCTGATAGTAACTAATTTAATTAAAATTAACTTGTGAATAATGAAAAGATACATCTATAGTATTTGCAGAATCTATTATAAAGAAGTTTGGAAATTGAATAAATGAGATAGAAACATACTGTCCATCACATGACCTACAATAACTAGGCCATGTTTGACCGTACAGCTCATCCTATAGATGTCATTTTTAATGATAAGATTTAAATATTTAGAGTATTGTCTATGTAGAATATGCTAAATATTAAATATTTAGAATTTAAAATACATTCTATAGATACAGTTTTAATAATTAGAAGCTACAGAATTCTTAAACGAAACAATGATTCAAATGTGCAATGCGGTAATTAGGTTGGTCCTAATTAAAGATGGGAAACAGAGTCCTCCTGATTTAGTTATTTTAAACCTATTTCTTGATAAGAATTTCAGTTGTATTGATCTACCCAGATTGGAATGTACTGTAAATATGAAGAAATTTGAGTTTAGAATTATATTTTGATTTATTTTAGCTCTTGCCAAGCCATTCATCATTAATGTCAAGGAAAACTCAGATTTATTTGAGTTACTGTATTAACAACAGTCAATTAACTTCACGTAAAATTTTCTAAAGATCAAGTCTTTATGGCATAGATAAGGTGTCATAACCCTGTTAGCTGTATTCTGATTTGTTTCTTTTGTGTTGTGAGTAGTTTTATTCTGCTTATGAAAAAGGTTGGATGATGTGCTTGGTTAAAATGAACATGATTTAGATAAGTTTTGAGTAGACAAAATTTAAAAAATATATCAGTTAATATATGGGAAGCAACAGAACTTTTTTTTCTCTTTCTCTTAGAAAATTGAAAATGGAAGATTTGCAAAGCTCAGATATATTGCACATGCAATGGTGAATAACACAGATTTGTTAATGGTAACAAAAAGGTAAAGATTTTCATCTTTCAATAAAATGTACTAATAAACCATTGCAACTTTAATTATTGTTAATAGGATAAGCAACTGTACTTATTCCATGGTTAAGTAAGTGTTGGCATATGTGTGGATATGAATATGTGTACATCCAATATGGACAAAATGAATTTAGCATCCTGTTACTTACCTTATTTGTTGTTCTGTCTGGCACAGAATTACTGCCTTATATAGTTTCTCTATTCTCTCTAATCCAGGGGAGGAAGATGTGTTTGATTTCATATTTTCTATAGCTGAGAGAGAGATGGGCATTTTATCAGACTGAAATCAAGGCAGCTGTGTGTGGACTCAAGAATTAACAGTTATACAGCATATTGCAGGAAAAAGAATAATACAGAAGAGTTTGTTTTTTAGAGGCATAAAGTTCCAGGTTTATCATAGAAGACGGTTTGTGTTATAAATAAGTACATGAAACTGAATAACTTGGTCTTCTGCAAAATTATGCCTTATTTATATTGCAGATAGCTTGAGGGAAACTACTTGAAATAATAAACAGCTTCACTGTAGCCAGCTTTTAGATCCTAATTTCTTGAAAAACTAAGGTTAATTTTTTTCTATATAGATTTTTTTTTAATTATTTGTCGTACTTTATTTTTGCTAGTGGTGTTTTGTTTGTGACAAAAGGAACATTTGGACAGCTGACGTGTGAGTGGCAGTATACTTATGATGAGTTTACAAAAGAGCCATTCATTGTTGATGGAAGAAGATTACGTATCGAAGCCAAGGTATGATGGATGCTTGGTTAGTGGAACAAAATATGAAAACATTATTAGTTATCATTAAAATCGTTAAGTTATTTAAATATTTTTATGATCAATTAGTTCATTTCTAGCTGCTGGACTCTCTCCTAGTCTGAGATGCATTTATAGCAGGCCAAGACTTATCATGACAGTTTGTCATGTCCAAACCAACTTCTGCTCTGACTGAGCTGGGAAACCTGAGTATTTAATTTTTTAGACTTTAAAGTCAGTAAGCTTGAGTCCCTTTTCTTCTCCTTTTCCATCCATATACTTATTTCCTGGAGGACAAGGTTTATTTAAATAAAGCATCTCTCCGGACAATTTAAACCCTAAATAGATCTCTTACAGCTCTCTCTTTCTCTATTTGCTGCCTTCATTCCAAGGGTGATGGGCCTCACTGTGCAGAACAAGCAAGTTGTGTCCAGTCTGCTAAAATACCCTTTCAAGAATTATAGAAAAGCACCTTACTTACCTTACAAAATTACTTCCAGCACATAGAGGAAAGAGTATGAACAGCCTGTTGTGGCCTCTAGTTAACCCAACATCCATCCCATCTCCCAGTCAACTTCCATAAGCTGACACACCTCTAGAAACGTTACTGAGAGGGTGTTCATTAATCCTCAGGACACGAGATCCAAATGGCAAAGGTGTCTCCCCTGATCAGGGCTTCACTTGGAAAAATTCAAATATCTTTTCTAAATTCCCTATCCCTTTGATTGATAAAGAGTCTAGAATCCTCTCTTGGGAGCAGGAAAAAGAGATTACCTTTCCATAGATTTCGTCTGTTGGATTTCAAGGGACATTGGGGCTCAGTACCTCTTAATAGGATGCACCACAAAAAGTATCATGGTCTCAGAAGAACTGTCAATTCTAGAACAGAGTTCACAGAATATGAGTGCTTGTATGAAGAGTTGTGCCCTTATGTGAAGGCAGCGGTTAAATTTGGGCGTGGGGGTTAGCTGTTTGATTAAGGCTTTTATTACATTAAAATAACATCTCAAATTTAGATATTATAAACAGTTAAATTTGTAGACTATACATTGAGGATTACTGTTGAAGGATGCTTTTTATGATCCTGTTTGCTTTACAAATGATAACTTTTATGAATGTTCTACTGTTGGTGCACAAGTACTCCATATGCTCAGGTTTTTGGCATCTTTTGGCTATAGCATGCAGAGACTGTTGACTTTGAGATATTTAGGAAATAAAGAAGATGGACCATGCCAACTATCATTCAGTTCTTCTCATTGCTTCCTAGTTTCTAGTCAAAGTGGCTTGAAGATCATAGTTTGTCTGCTTAGCAGTTCCTACTTCTTACATTAATTAGATATCCTGTTAGTTAATTGCCAGCTTACAGTTTCATTATAAATGTTTCCGTTTGTTTTTCTTTACCTAAATAAGATGCTGTGCTCCAGGAAGTTAAGCTTCTTGGGTCCCTGAAATAAATGGGAGGAAGTGAAGCCAACAGGTGATGTTTAGGAGTGCACTGAAAAAGATTTTTTTTGCCGACACCGACAGCCAATTATTAACCAGCCATATCGGCTGATACCAATCCAATAACTGGTTTACAGGAATGCAGCCAGGCAGCATGGAGAGCAGCTCCCTGCAGATAAATCTGGGGGAAGGAAGGGGCACAGGGGAGGGCAGAAGTGGGGGGGGGGCAGATCGACGCCCCCACAGTGAGGGAGGGAGTGGTGCAGGTGCTTGGGGGTGCTGCCCAGCTAGGGCAGTGAATGGAGGCCGGGGCAGGGAGCGAGACAGCCACGGGCAGCTTGTCTAGGGTATCAGCATAAAAAATGGTGGTGGGGGCGCTTGAACTAAAGCTCGTCGAATGAGCTTTATTTAGTTCAAGCATCACCACCACCATTTTTAAGTGTGGGGATGCTTTTAAATTGAGCAGGGTGAGGGTGGATGTGGACTGCTTGCTAAGGACTTGGGGCTCTCTGCTCTTCTGCCTTTGCCCTGAGGGCTCTGCGTCAGCTGCGTGTCCCCTGCTTGCCTGGCAGTGGGGGCATAACTCACCACCCCCACTGCTGCCAGGTGGGCAGGAGACACGCAGCCCGCATGGTGCTCCCAAGGAAAAGGCAGCAGAGTGGAGAGCCCTGAGCCCACAGTGAGCAGCCTTCATCTAACCCATGCACAAATCGGGGGGGGGCATGCATCCCCCAGGGGGTGTGCGCAGATGTGGGGAGCTGTCCCCATCCCCTGCCGTGCCCCCTGGATGAGCCATCCACTGCTCCATCCTGCCCTGGCCCCAGGTCCCATTCACTGCCTTGGCTGGGCAGCGCCCCCAGCCCCTGCCACATTCCCCCTCTCACAGTGGGGGCCTTGATCTGCTCCCACTCCATTCTCTCCCCAACCCCCCTTTCCC